TTGATGTTTATTAACGAATACGAATATTTTTAATTTTGTACTTGTACTTTTGAACTAAAAGTTAATTAAATATTCATTAGTTTTATCCCTAGATTTATTTCCCTTCATACCACTATTTTTAAAAAAATGTATCAAAATGTTACTGTTTGAGTTTTTTCTCATAATGCAGCTTTTTCCTTTTGGGTTCGTCCATGGGGGTGCAAGTTTTTTCCCTTTATATCGCATGAAGATGATGAATTTTTTTAAATATTTTTTATTATTTAAATGTTTTAATTAATATATTAATTAATATATTATAATTAAAATAAGTTTTCTAAAGTTAAAAAATGATTAATATTATTTTTAAAATTATTTAATTAATATTTTAATATCATAAAATATTTTAACTAATTTTTTATTTTTTTTATTACAAATAAACAATAAAATAAAACACTAGAGACGGATGAGGTAGCTCAGTTAGCAATTGCTAGTTAGGTTAAGGGGTGCAAACTATTGGTCCAGCGTTCAACTCCTGGTAGCGTCATTTATTTATATTTTCTTTTAAAATATAAATAGGTTATTAATATTTATAAATCAATAACTTTTCAAAAAAAAAATAATAAAACACTAATTTATTAATTGTTGAAATGACTAAAATTACATATCAGGTTAACTCTTTGGATTATTCTCTGGGAGATGGAGTATTGTCGGATGACAAATTTTCATCTTGATTCGATAGACCTTCGCCCATAGCTTGTTGCATGTCGTCAACCGACAAGTCCAGAAAAGTCATAGTTAGGTTGAGAGGAGGATGAGTTGATGTTATTGAGACTAGGAGTATGAATAATCAAAGTTAGGTTGAGGAATTGGAGAGTATTGTAAAGGTGGTCAAAGTGTGGTTTGTGTTTGATATTTTTGGTGGTAGTAGTTGTTGTTTGAGGGATTGGGGTGAGGAGTTGGTCGTTGGGATGAGGTGGCATAGAAAATATGTTGTTGTGTGGTTTGAGTGTGATGATATGTTTGTTGGGGGAATGAGGATGTTTCGGATTGAAAAGGTGATGGGTTCGTCTGGGGAATGTCTTGATGTATAGACGGCGGGCATGTTTGTTGTGTTGAAGAGGAGGCATATTGCCGAGGGTCGTTTAAAAATTATGGTTGAGAGGAAAATATTAATGGAATATTTCTAAACCAATTAATATATTCCTTGCTATGATTGAATTCTCCATTTAAACTGTTCCCATTCAAAACCAAATTTCTTCTATTATTTCACTCCTCGTTCTCTAGTTAGTTTACGGTGCTCCAATGAACACTCCATGTGGATTGAATTTCTGTTTCATGGTGTTCCCTCAGACATCTTGGTTGAGAAGGAGTTTCTTGTTTAAATCCAAATATAAATTTGACCCAATCCGATTGATGCATCTCAACAATATGAAAACATATAATCGATGTCGTCGCACTTCACACGCGCCTATCAGCACGAACAATAGCGGGATATTGAGGGTATGGCCTCCACTCCAATTGTTACATGAAATAGAATAGTTAGAGTGCAAGTACACATCCATTAAATTAAATAGTTATAGTGTGGTTACATGACTTACTTCGTCCGAAAGCATGTAATCAAATGTCAGTCGATATCCACGAAGACAACCACGGGGATTATTTTTGTACTCCATACCTCTTTGAGCAAGCTTTACATTTTCAAAATAAAGAAATGTCATAAATTAAATGTATAGGCGTATAAAATAGTGTAATTATAAATTAAATTTACTTGACGGCATAAGATTAAACTGACACTTGGTGATTAATAGGAACAATTGACGGTATATGCTAAAATGCCCAAATATTTAGAAAGAGTACGCATCCTCCAATACTTTTTATTCCTCTATATGATGCTTTGCACATACCTCTAAATAGGGTAGCCAAACAAGCAGAACCCTAACTATAAGTGTTACATGTTTCTAAGTTCTCCACTAAAGATATCTAACAAGAATGCATTAAATTTTGACTCTTATTTAAAAATAAAAATGAAGAAATAAGAAGTAAAAAAATAAAGATGTTTTCCTCTTCAGTATGTGCATCCCGATTTTTTAAATGATCTTATTTAAAAATAAAAATGAAGAAATAAGAAGTAAAAAAATAAAGATGTTTTCCTCTTCAGTATGTGCATCCCGATTTTTTAAATGATTTAAAACCTCTTGTAACCATGTTATTTTTACAGCATTGTTAATTCTATCTCATCTAAAAGGTTACGAATACCTAAATATTATGATTTTCTTGCCATCACTAATTATAACCCAAGTAACTATTTTAGTGCCAACCCAACAATAATCATTTGCAGCATATCATAAAGAAAAAAAGATTACTACACACAAACCAAATCTATTATATATAAAAAGGTTATATTAAACCAAAACGTGGAAGACCAAATTATTTTATAAGAAGTCCTCCATCAGAAAGGGAGCGACAGAAAAAAAGTTTCATGATTGAGATTTTCATTGCTATCCCTCATGTGAAAATTCCCATAATAGATTATTCAAGATCTTTGGCCTACACTTGTCTATTGTCATGAAATTAAAAGGTTTTTTTTTTGTTTGTTTTAAGTAATCACTATAATTAGAGTCTATTCGCACCCATACCCATATGTTCATGAAAACAATAACTATATTTCAGAGTCGTCTTTGATAACATATAAGGCGGTGAGCAATATAAAATTTTAAAATTTTCAAAATTAATTTATAATTTAATAAAATTTTATAAAAAAAATCTTATCTTAAATCATGATTATATAAAATCTCTATTTATTTTGTCCTTGTTAAATTATGATTATCCTACATAGTACTTTTAAAAATTTGAGATAACTCTACTTTATACTCTCATTTATTCTGCCAATTTATAATATTAGCTCGTACGCATATTTATTTTATGATGAGATCTATGATACCCTTTATAAAGTTAAGGGTAATTTATTTTTTATGATCTATATTAATAAAATTTTATTATATATATATATAGTATATATATATATATATATATATATATATATATATATATATATATATATATATATATATATATATATATATATATATATATATATATATATATATATATATATATATATATATATATATATATATATATATATATATATTAATTCTTTACAATTTTAGATTATTATTTAATATTCAAATTTTATTTTATATGATAAAATTTTATTTACCTCTAAATTTGTAAAGGATAGTCAAGAATTTACTTTATTTTATTGATTTTTTAATTAATGCTATTAAATGACTTGTTAACAAAAACCTCAGTTAATTGAATGTGAGGCTCTAAAGAAAAAAGATGAAAGCATTTAAACGAGACTGACGACTTTATGCATGTCTAATGATGAGTGGGATGCTTATGATAGGCATTGCCCACCTTTGAGAATTACCCACTCTATATAATAGACTCAAAACAAAGTTAACATCATGTAAGTTTTCTCACGAACCTTTACCTAAACACATGATGAAATTGATCAAATTATACAAGAATTTGTAGACCATATAAAATTGACAATATGTTTGATTACGGGTATGTTTGGTTAGAGAAATTTTTTTTGAAAAGAGAAATAAGTGAGAAAATTATAAAAAGAAAATGTTAGAAAATAAAAAATAAAAAATAAATTCAATATATTCTATGATATAGAAGAAAAT